GATCTGAACTTTCTTCAAACGACGATTAGCGGTCGGCACAGGACTTTCTAAAGCTCTGGCAGACGCAGTAGCGCTGTCATTCCTTTAACGACGAATAGCGGTTTGTTGAGGTTGTTCGAAAAACCCTGGAAGATGCAGTAGCCCTAGCATTCCTAGGACGACACGAAGCGGTTTGTTCAGGGTTATCTAAAGCTCTAGAACATGCTGTAACACTGGCATTCCTTAAACGCCGAAGGATTGTCTGGGTTGGGGACTCGGAAGCCCTGGCCCTAGAAACGCGTATTGCATCCTGTGAATTCTATACTAAACGCTCTTCAGTTGAAAGTTTAGCGCGTTGTGATGACATAACTGGTGCTAGCGATGCCAGCCTTTCAGTACGTTCATCGGTACTTTTCGTGGAGATGCGGGCAGCAGAGCGTGAGGCCAACTGAGAAAGGAGCAACGATGTTTGCTCTCTGGTTTCACTTGTCTTTGCTGCTCTTGTAGCGGAAGCAGCAGCCGTGCGACGTCCAAAAATTTTTCTTCTCTTAGGCGGCATTTTAACCACTTTTAAACAGGCAAACGTAATAAAAGGTATGTAGGCTTTTTGAGTGCAAAAAAAAATACGTGTAGCCTAAACGTAGGCAGGTTAGAAAGATCCCCAAAATGTATGTAACTGTATCCAAAGGGGATAGAAGACAAAAAAATGCTAAAGCTAATAACGGTAGTAGGTAATTTGGGAAGTAAATTCGATAAACGCGGAAACGGATGTAGTTATAACTAATAAGTAAAAAACAGTTTAGATACGTAATCAAAAGCTTGAGGTTTCCGAAAGAAGCGAATGAAGTGAGCCAAGTGTGGGACAGTAATCACAGAAGTGTGAACACGCGTGCGAATTATGGTATAAAGAGGCGGTTGGCAGGTTAACCTTGAGTGCATATACTAAGGTGACGTACGTACGCACGTGCACACCCGTGCGTAAGCGAACTGCTCGCGCGTATGATAGGATGGGCCCACGGTTAAACGATTGCAAGCGTGCCAATGAGCTCGCAGCAACCTTGAACAGTTGACGCGATTGGTTAACCTCCAGCTGGGTTAGTCAAAACAGTGCACAGTGGGGGATGACGTTTCAAAATAGTATCTGGCGACTCCATTTTATCGGGCTTTTTATTGATGAATATGAAAGCTATGTGGTTGCTTATCTCAAAATAGGCATTGCCTTTTTGATTTACGTCGTCTCTCAAAGTCAGCCAACCAGAAAATAGGATTTTCAAGCTTCATTTTTCTTTGAAAATTTTGAACAGCCAGGAGATATCAGGTAGTTTTATTGATCAAAAGTTGAAAATACAAGCGTTTTTACACTTCTTACGTACAAAATTTGAAGCAATGTTAATTTCGTTTACTGATGGATGATGAAGGCCTTTGATTATCACGAATTTAGATGAACACGTGCGACAACTTTTAGGAGCAGCGATGCGCAGTAGTAAAATTATAGCGAGTAGGTGTATTTTGCTATACGTAAACGGCATGTAAAGACATAACAGTCCCCCGGTGTTCCCTCGAATGAAAAAATGCAATCAAATGTGAAAAATTGAACAAATTGGACAATTGCGGGGAGCCGAATCTGTCCACTTTGCTTGAAAGTGGTGGCAACTGACCTAAACATCTTTAAATATATATATATATATATATATATATATATATATATATATATATATAAAATGTGTGTGTGTGAGACAGACAGAGAGAGAGAGAGAGAGAGCTTGTGTCGTATACGGAACCGTCGATAGATGAGAGGTACTCTACCACTTAGCTACAGCGTAGTGTCTGGTTAATTAAGTCCAAATTACTCTTTATAAATAACAAATCTTCGACGATCTTTCCCGAACGATCATATCTGTTTACGAACGAAACGTACCTTAACGTAATTATAGACAACGTAATATGTCGAATTATATATATATATATATATATATATATATATATATATATATATATATATAACAAGATTCAGTTTCGTGTTTTATCCGGGTTTTTTCATTGGGTAGGTAGACATTACGTATATTTGTCCTGTCAAAATTATGGCTACTCTCATAGACTAGTACTTCAAGGGAAATAATTTTTAATTTTAATATTGCGTTCATAAGTGTAGGACTGAAATACTGTCAAAGGTATTTTTTTTTAAATATTTCTTCCAAGCTGTTTTTGAAGACTTTGTTTTCCACATGACACATGTAGAAATTAGAGAGAGTCGGTCCAAGGGGTGAACCCATCGCTACCCCGTAAGTTTTTGTGTAAATGTTGCTATAGTGATCGTAAAATTGTAATTTTGTCTTGTATCTGTGGTTCCTCATATGAGAAGATGAATTAAAATCATCGAATTCTATTCGAAATACATGCGTTTGGTTGGTCAGTGCCATCTCCCGAACATCTCCCAGTACCGTGCGTCACTTCTTTTGGAATATTTCCCAGTCCTTCAGCATGTTGCAACAACTAAATACGCGGTTCTCACCTTTAATAGGATATCTCCAATGGCAGGTGAGAAAAAGAATATGCTGTGAATTGCCGCAAGGCCGAATGCTTTGCTGTTTTGACGCGGATATTTATAAGAAAAATAGGGATATTGATTATGAGGTGCCAGTTTTCTAACGGGGAGCACGTTTGAATTGTTTTGTTTATGTCATGAGGTGATGACAAGATGAAAGACTTTTTTGTGTTTTCTTTTTCTTACTTTTTTTTTTTGCTCTTATTTTTGGCGGTGTGTTCTCGTGTAAGAATTTAACGTTCAAGCGACGCGACTGTAGATATCTGGAAAGATAAGATGCTTGGTAAAAGGAAAGATGGCAAGCAGAGATGAAGTGAGT